CAGGGAAGGATGGCGAGGCATCGTGTTGAGCCAAGGGCAGGCAGGTTGGAGGGGAGTTGCCGGAGGAGGTGGCAGTTGTCTTGCAGGCAGCAGAGGCATAAATCAATGACATTGTGCTCCAGGGAGCACACCCCAGAAGGGGTGAGGGAGGAAGTAAGAAAAATTGTGTATTAGCCAGAGTTGAGGAAACCAGAGGCAGTGCAAGCAAAATGATCGAGTGCAATATTCGTCTAGGTTCCGGCAGATCTGGGTATAGCAGCAATATATTGTAACCCTGAGTGCTTTCAAACAAATGCAGAGTTTAAGCGGATTACAACAATGCCTCTCCAATCAAGATTACTGTCCCAGCTTGACATATATACCTTCAGGCTTTTGAAGCTATTGTCACGATGTATGAGTGCCCGGAGCGCAGACAAAGGAGCAGAAAGCCAGGGATCAGGAACACGGGATTTAATCCAAGGAAAGGCAGGTAATGACGCATCAACAATACACTCAACAATACAATGACTGGACTGGGGAAACAAACAGAAATGCAGACTAAATACAATGGACTAATTGACAACGATCAGGAACAGCTGGTGAACACGGGGAATACACTTGGGGTTAATGAGGGGGTGTGGCACACGAGAGGAGCGGACGATTGCGGCATGACAGAACCACCCCCCCCCCAAAGACGCGCATTCCGGGCGCGCCCCAGGGGAGGCAACGGACGCAATGAAACCGGGGACACGGGACCTGGAGAGACAAAAACCAAGAGCAAAACACATCAATGGGGCACAGGAAACAAGACAGACACGCAGAACAGACACAGAGACAAGGACAGGAACCGACAAAGAACGGGAGACGTCGACAAACAGACCAGGAAAGGAGACACAGGAGAAGGTGAGAAAGGCGGAACAAAAGGACCAGGAGTGAACGAAGGACCAACAGAAGGAGGAGGAGGAAACACAGGAGGGACGAAGGGACCAGGAGCAGACAGGGGAGACCAGACAAGAATGGATGGAGGACAAAGGGGAGCCCGAGGGAGCCCAGACAGGCGATGGGCAGCGGCCGGAGGGGCCGCAGGAGGAAGGGAGGCCGGAGCCGTAGGGAACGCCACAGGGGCTGAGGGAACGAGACGAGGGAGAGCTGGAGGGGACAAGGAGGGAGCAGGAGGGATCACCGGCGGAGGCAGGCAGGAGGGGGAAGCCGGAGCAGGTGGAGGGGAAGCTGGAGCCGGTGAAGGCGCCGTCCGACGCCCTGCCGAAGTAGGGGGGACACGGAGCCGGAGGCGACGCCGAGGACCGGCACCGAAGAACCGGGAGAGGGCCTGGAGGCAACCGCCGACCCGACGGCACAGGCCCCGCAGACAGCCACCGAGCCACAGCCAGGGGCCGAACGGGCGAGCCAGGGGGCAGGGAGGGCAGGAACCGGGCCCGATGCCTGTGTCCCCATCCCTTATGGGACACTGACAGGCGGGGTCCCGAGGTGTGTTGGTCCCGGCAGGGCAAGGGAGCAGGAGTCCATAGGGAGGTCCCCGAGGGGTCCCATTCAAGCTCCTCCTCCTCACTGGAGTTAGGAGCTGGGTCCTGGTTGTCCGGGACCTCCTCGGGGACTGGGTCTAGTGCTGGGGGGTCAGAAGTTCTTTCTCCTTGGGAGGTGGCCGGCGAGGACATGCAGGGCAGGACAGGACAGACAAGCAGGGCTGGACAGGCGAGCCGGGCTGGACAGACGACCCGGGCTGGACAGGCGGGACAGGCGACCCGGGCTGGACAGGCGGGCCGGGCTGGACAGACGGGCCGGGCTGGACAGGCGGGACAGGCAGGGCCGCTGGCAGAGAGGCGGCATCAGGCAGGGCCGCTGGCAGAGAGGCGGCATCAGGCAGGACCGTGGGCTGAGCGGCGGCATCAGGCAGCGCCGCGAGCAGAGCGGCGGCATGGGGCGCCTCGGCAGGCACCTCGGGCGTGCGGCCAGCAGGGGGCGCCTCGGCAGGCGCCAGCTCCGGGTCAACAGGGGGCGCCACAGGAGCAGGAGATGACACAGGCGCCTCTGGGGGCGCCGCAGGAGCAGGAGACGACTCTGCACCAGCAGGAGATGACTCTGCACCAGCAGGGGGTGCAGGCTCTTCTGGAGGAGCCAGCTCCGACCGCAAGTGGAGCAGCTCCCTCAGGGTCTCCCCTGCCTTGGTAAGCAGCTGGAGTGGGGATTCGGGGGTGACTGTGGCAAACTCCTTCCGGAGTCACTCCAGGAGCGTTCCCGTCTCTGGGGAGCCTCTGACGGCGGGCTCACCTACCACCCGCCAGTACAGTCCCTGGAGGGTGAAAAACCTTCTAGCCGTCTCCAGGCAAGGCCGTGGCTCAGGAAACACGGGGGGCGCTGCAGCCTCAGGAAACACGGGGGGCGCTGTAGCCTTAGGAAACACGGGGGGCGCTGCCCACTTCAGAAACCGCGGAACCTGCGGGATAGCGTCCGTAATAGACCTGGCCCCTTTAAGGGCCAGGCGCGTCCCAATGAAGGGACAGGCTGTGGGCTTAAACAGAGAAGCGGCGGTGACGTCACCCGCGAACACCACCGGGTGGACGGTCCCCAGACGGACCTCCTGCGCGTCTTCCCATCTGTTTCTCCGTCTCTCTCTTCCTCCGCGCGCTGCAGTGGGCGGCGGTGTTTGGGGCACCTCAGGGAACTCAGGAAGCGGTCCAAATGGCAGTCCGCAGGAGAGGGTTACCTGCCGCAAGTTTGCTTCTGCCACCCCGCTTTGTAGTCGCCGTAAATTGTCGCGCACCTCCCCCGCAAGGCGCACGTCTCCGGGTAGGGACATCTTCTCCAGAATGTCCCTACTCCGGCTGGCTATAGCCCGAAGCAGGGGATCCTCCCGGACTTCGGGCTGGGTCAGCCAGTATAAAACCTCATCCGTCAGGTCAAGGTATTCCTCTTCACTTAGACGAGGAGATGTCTTCTTTGGGAGTCCAGTCATTCTGTCATGACCGTGCCGAGCACAGACCAAGGAAGCGGGCGACGAAGACGAGGAATCGGGAGTAAGGGTTTTAATTGACATTCAGAGAGTCAGACAGGACAGAAAATGGCATAACACTACAATGACCGGACTGGAGAAACAAATGGAAATGCGGACTAAATACAATGGACTAATTGACAATGATCAGGAACAGCTGGTAAACACGGGGAATCCACATGGGGTTAACGAGGGGGCGTGGCACACGAGAGGAGCAGACGATCGGGGCATGACAGCTATTTGAAAAAAGAGGAGTGATAGACAATAGACTGAAGACCATCCAGGAAGCCACTGATCAAGTAAGAATTTATTCTAAAAAAAAAAATTATAATAATACATTTAATAGAATCTTAGTAGTGTGACACCACTCCACTTATTTGTAGAGTCAAATCCATTACAATGTTATGCTAAGAGAAATGTCATGTGGCATTTTTGCATACAAATGATGTACAGTGGTGGTAGTATGTAATCTTGGTATATACAATTATACCTTTCTGAGAGAAAAAAAAGACTAATGAAATAATTGTCTCTTTCCAGAATGATAACACAGAGTTTGGAATGTAGTACATGTATCATCAAGGGACTCTGCATCTACCTCCACGAGGACCCAGCACACCTATTGAGGGAGTAGGGGAGACCGGGGACAGTTGCAACAGGGGGATGGTTGCAGCAGCTCAGTTTTCTTCAATTAGTTCCAAGCTAGAGTGATGACACATACACTGCACATGCTCAGTTGGGTGCCCGCCATTGCTGAGAAAAATCAAGCAGATGCAAGGACTGGTCCTGGAGTTATAAAAAAAAAACTGTTTTTAAGGTATGAAAGTAAATTTTTTCTTGAGCCTTGTTTTTGTTATACTGTTGTCACAGTGTTACGTGTCGTAAGTTTCCAGGGGAAGCCTACAGATTCTCCGGACCTCCGTCCCTCGTCGTCATCCGCCGGCTGCATCTTGGCTCCGCCTTGCTGACCAGACCCCACCCACAGCTCCTCTGATGCGCCGCGCGTCAGTTCCTGTTCCTGAGGAGAAAAGGCCACGGATAGCACACTTCGGGAGCTCTGCTCATTTTTGGATTTGTGATTTGGATTGTTATTGGCTGGCTCTTACCGTGTATGACTGTTTTTGTTTCTGGTTTCCGACTTTCGCTTCGCCCCCTTTCTGGTACTGTTGCTTTGGTTGTTTGCTCTTCTGGTTTCGAACTCTCGCCCGGCTCCCGACTATTCCCTTTGCTCGCCCCTTCGGACACCGTCTTGTTCCCTTGTCCTTTTCTGTTTATTTTTCTGACGGTCCCCAACTCTAGACTGGGGATCATAACAACAGTTTTTGTGATTCATTTCAAACTTATATGGTTTAAACAAGTGATATGTGAACTTTTAGCTAATAAGGTTAGCATGTATCAAGATTACCTTGATTAGCTAGTACATGAGGTTTTGTCATGGCTGACAGTAAAGGGGACAGTTGCAACGGTTGTAACAACTGTCCCCATATAATGCATTAATATAAAAACAGACAACTGACACGCCATAAAAGGAAGCACTGGAGATGGAGAAAAACAATGTTCTTCTCAAGAAGGCAAAAAAAAAAACAATTGGAGAAAAGAAAGTTGCAAAAAAACGTGTGAAGCAGAGCAAAAAGCTGGAGAAAAGAATGCTTGAATCAGACTCAGAAGAAAAGGAAGTGTGCATTGTTTTTCAAGGTCAAGGGAAGTCTGGTTACAGTGCTGGAGCTGTAAATCCTGGGCACATCAGGATTGCACCCCTGGAGGTGATGTGTACACTTGCCACAACTGCGAGACTGACTGAATGGCTGGTTATTGTTAAAATATTACTCAATTACAGTTTGTTAAAGTTTTTAAGATGCATTTTCCATACTGGGGTTAGTTTTCTAGGCAAATAGGCAAAATAAAAGTTAATTACCTCACAAATTGTTTTGTTCTTATGTCACCATATCAATATAATATCAAATTTGAATCTTTGACATCAAGGCCTACTCATCTAGACAAATC